TTGAAAATACTTTCTAGCTTTTCTTATCCATTCTCTATGTCCTCTTCCCAAATTGAAGGAAGTTAATTTTAGGTAGTTTAGCATCTTCCTTAGTATCACCCTTAGTCTGGTTACCCATCTCCTGGCCATTAGAACCTTGTAGTGTCAGCCTACTGCCAGTCTTTGGTTAGATACAGAGCTTTCCATTCCTTTGTTCTTTTGGTCTGCTCTAACGTCTGTTGCTATTTACTATTTATACCATCATTATCCCCATTTTCTCATACTTCTGATTCATTTCAAGGATAGTGTCTTCAATCTTCTCCTGCTGTTGACCAAGTACTTGGAGGGTTTGATATGTAGTTTCCAATCTACTAGTCACTGTATTGAATGCTGCTCCTAGATCTGCTATCTCCAAGTCTAGCTTCATCAAATATTCATCTACCACCAGTGCCGTAGTAACCATAATTTCAAGACCATTGTTACGCCCCTATCTGAACCACCTCGAAATGTCCACCACCACACACTTCGATCTGCTAGACACCCTCTCGAAGTGGTTCCGAAGTGATTTCACCAATGTCAACGACCTACTGTCACACTGCGAGACATAGATGATTCTGCCGAACTGACCGAAGCGCCCTCACCCATGATGTCGAGGCGAAGTGCACTCCGAGGACCTGTGTCAGAAGATACGCTGCCAATTTCAGAAGGAGATCTTTGCCAAGATCCTTTCTGCCCCTAAGGTTTAAATTGATTTGATATCTCCATGAAACTAGTTGATGTGACCGATCAACTTTATATCAACTCAACTCGGGAGAAGTAATTACCCGCCCACTCTACAGACGCGGCTGATTGACACTTATGAGCAGACACCTCATAATGTCAGATGTATACACATGCCCTACATCCAACGGTTCATCCCACCTATAAATACCTAAGTGTTGGCAAGAGGCAAAGGTAATGAAACTCTTACTAAATAGCACTCCATAACAAGCATATATATTTTCTCCTCCCCTTTATTATTTTGCACAACCCCTGAGTACTGTTCCGACCACCTGAACCGAACTTGACCGTCGGAGTGTATACGGCCGCCACCACCCCCGCTGGTCGCGGCCGTGTGCGTCTGACCGTGCATTGATTGTGCGCAAGGAGGAATACGTGGAGTAGCTCTCGGTTGGCCACGTGGAAGGTCTAACTAATTTTATCAATATACTACAAAATTTGACACCGTACACTTGTGGTTAAATCACGTTACATAAAATGCGTGGAAGTGGCCATTTTTTAACATTATGGATTTGAATTTGACAGCTTTTCACTCAACTTTTGGCACCATTTCAAGTATCTGGATGAGGCCTATATATAGAGGAGCCATGTTCAAGCGAAAGATGTTAGAAAAACATCTTATAATATATATATTATTCCACAAACAATCAAATTACGGATTACATTTATATTCATATCTTCTTTATTGTGCTCTTCAAGTTTTGGTAGAAAATTCTTTGTACTCTGATTTTTTCTGTATCAAGGCTTGTTATAATCCTTCGAATCGTTTGTCGGAATACCCTTAAACATCTCATTACATTTGAAGAGGGGGCAAATATCGTTTCAGGACAACGATATCGTGTTCAAGCCTTCAAATTCGTTCTTGTCAAGTTTTTTAGTTTCAATTTATCTTGTTGCTGTATTTTG